GACAATATGATGCAATAATTTATGTATTATGATACTATGTAACAATGCCTTTATTAAAAGAAATAGAATAATATAAATATATTTTAGCTTTAAAGAAAAAACAACAACACACACACACACTCACACACACACTCACACACACACACACACACACACACACTCACACACACACACACACACACACACACACACACACACACAAGTGCTGCTAAACATAGAAAGTGCCTGATTAAAGAGAAGTTTGGAAACATTGTGTCATCCCCAGGGATAGAAGGATGGGGGTGGTGTAAGATATCTGTAAATCTTACCTTGCCCACAGTTGGCTGCTGTGATAGTATTTGCAAAGTAAAGCTCTTACATGCAATATCCCATTACAAGGCAAACTGCACTCCTGTAAACATCCATCCCTGGGAAGGCAGGGGAACACTACCAATCTTTAGCACTTCCAAGGGCTCTGCTCTCATGGATGCTCCTGTTAAATAATTCAATACATGCACAGAGATGCTTGATATTTTGGGATTGGGAGTTTGATGCGTTACCCTGCATTCATTCAAGCCCTCCTACTGACTGCAGAAGCCCCACCTCTGATGTGACTGAATAATGCTGGATCCTCAGCTGAACACACTGTATCATCACTAGCTGGGTACCACTCTCTGCTGCAATGGACCTCAGAGGATCTGCTGCTCTGAGCAGTGACAGGGCTGAGTGCAGGGTTAAAAAGCACAACTGCCTCTGAATGGAATACAAAGTATATATTTACTATATTGCTATATGTATCCATCCTGGTAAAATATTTTATAAATAAATATTCTTTTATCTTGGTATCAGCATTTCTCACTATTAATATCCCTGTCTGAGATCTTGGAGATTATTGATAAAGGTGGTGTATTAGCACTGCATGTTTAGAAGGATGGGGTCCTTAGAGTGGTATTCCTTGGAGAGAAATGTCTAATAGAGCAATTAGAAATACCCCCTAATACTCCTGGCTAGGGTTGTGATCAGTCCATGGTGAAGGTTATATATCTCTATTTAAATGCTGTGTAATGTAATTCCCATTATTCTTACATCTCCCAAGCGTCCCGTATCTGGCAGGAATGTTACTCTTTTGGACACACGTCCACCTGTCTCCAGTACTTCTAGTCCTGATCTTAGGGAAACCATAAATAGAATTTGTAATAAAGGAAGTATAAACCTTAGATGACTCTTCACGGGAAGAATTTAGGAAGGCTGTGCAAGTCACATGCAGAGAGGTGTGACTAGAGCTATATAAACAAAGTGATTTAACTCCTTAATGGCAGAGCATTGAACTATGAGACTGCAGGGGCATGATATATACATCAAAACTGCTTCATTAAGTTAAAGTTGTTTGGGTGACTATAGTGTCCCTCTGAGCTTGCCCTCTGTAAGGTCCTATACATTTTTTACTTCTGTCCTGTTACATAGGATTGATAGACCTTGTGGTTTTTGGACAGCAAAGTTGACACTGAGTTTGGTTGCAGTCACTTTGAATAACCCCAGCTTGAACACGTTTATGTAACGTGTGTGTATCCTCTCACATTCATGCTTGCCAAATAATACAGCTTTTATTCCAGTAATGGCCCTAAATGTCACTGGCAAAGCCCTGAAACCTCACCACCTCATTCTTGGTTGTTAATATATTTGAACCCAAAACAATACAATCTATTTATGGAAAAGAAAGCTCAGTATATAGTAAAGCAAGTTTATACATTACTATACATTAAAGAGTTGGAATGAGTAAATGAGCTAAAGACAAAGATGGATAACAAAACAAACTATAAATAGCTATGTAACTTTTTTTGTAAGTCAAATATAATTGAATGACCCAATGGGTCTGCAATATTTCTAAGATCCCAGTAGCTTTTTTTTCACAGACCAGAAACAAATCAGAATAATTACACCTTAGCGAGATAACAAGACAGAATCAGTTTAGTCAGATATTTAATACAGTCAGGGCCGGACATACCTGTACAATGTGAATCTCAGGTACCCCAACTACACTTCAAAAAATTCAATTTTGTGTCCTCTTGAACCAGGACTTTGCAAATAAAAATTCTGCCTATTCTGGATTGTAATAAACTGTGTCTCCGAAAGGCTATTGTCACAAACTGTGTCCCCCAAAAGACTGCATTTATCCCTGTTCCACTCGGTGTTCCAGCCACTTTGCTTGCCTGCCCTATGTGCGCCGACCCAGGAGCTACGAGTCTGGGCTTGTAGCCGCCCAAAGTGCATTCTCTCTGGTGCTACCTAAGTTGAGATATCCATCAGAGAGCGCCGCAAGCCCTAGCCGACCCTCTGGAGCCATGAGGTGGCTTCAAAGCCGTAGAGTCCCGCTGGCTAGAAGTCTATGCCGATCAATGGGAGAGGGAGCTACCATTCAAAGTGGTTTGCACCCTTTCTCCCGATTGGTCGATGCGAGTTGGAGGGCTTAGCTTGTAACCCCTCCCTGAGTGTTGATTGGTCACTGCGTGTATGCGCCCTTTCTCCGGATTGGTCGCAGCCTGGTTTTGGTGTGAAGTTTGAATCGACTGGCCTAAACCAAGTGATTCTATGATTCTATGGAACTGTTTGCAGGGATGTACAGAGCACAAGCCCCGATCTTTACACAACATTTTCTCAGGCTCTGTACTTCCGATTGCCCTTAAATTTGCAGGGGTCCTATCTGGGACCTGGATGCATTATTGTATTGTGGGTAACTTGGGGGGAGGAGGGTTGTGTGTCAGCTGCCTGTGTCTGGGAGATACCATTAATTACTTTTATCAACCATTTTACCTTAAAAAAATTATTATTGAATGCAAAACTGTGTTTTTTTTTATAACGGAGCCGTAAAATATCAAACCCAGGTAGGTTGTCAGGACATGCCAGTCACTGTTTATTGTATAAACCCCCAATCTGTGTTCCCAGGATTAGCACTATAACTTGATTTTATTGCAAAATCTCCTCAGTCTTTGTTTGCCTCTCTCTACAAACACAGATGATGGGTTATTTTTATGCCAAGAGAAAATGTCATCTATACGCCTACTCTCTTATATTCATTCACATATACAATTCCAATCTATATTTCAAGCAAGAAACAGTGTTACGCATGCATACCTTAACCCTTTTTACACTGCAGCTGATACAACAGACTTCAAAGTGAATTTCAAATCGGAGGCCAGACCAGCCAAACAAAGAACATTTGATTAAGTGTGATTATTTTGACCTGAAATTTGAAATGTAGTTGAAATTCAGTTTAAATTCTCACTTTAGGGATGAACCCTGATACCATCTTTCCCCGAAAATAAGCCTTAGTCGCTAGTTCACTAATCTATGTCTGGGGAAGTTTCTCCGAACATAGATTTGCGGGATTCCATGCTCTTGTGAACTGGTCTATGTTCAGGGGAAGTTTCTATGGGTTATGTATTCTTCATCTCCATGTGACAAAAAACGGAGATAATTACCATCTGAAGATCGAGGGGAGTGCTGCTCGGCGGTCTTCTGCCATGATGCCAGGCTTGTGCGGCATGTTGGTGCACGTCGGCCGCTGCAGACCCATGCAATTATATAGTCCCACGTCTGTCCGCGGTAAAGACAACATTGACGTGCGTGTGACATCACACAAAAGATGCACACGCACATTTTGGGGTCAAGGGTTAGGTGCAGACAATCGTATCTGAAGATGGTTATTTAAACTCACTTATTCCTAAGCTCATTGCCCTGTCGTGGTTTCCCTTAGATGGTTATCCAAGAGTGTGTTCTTGATAGTGTTTTTCTGGTTTTTGACTTTGGTTTTGTTTTGACTTCCCTGATTTCTGGTACCTTTGACTTTTGGCTTTTCCTTATCGCTGTGTCTTGTTCTGTGTCCTTGACCTTGGCTAGTTTTCTGACTATTATCGACTATTCCACTGTCCTTTCTCGCCTTGACTACTGTAATCCGCTTCTCAGTGGTCTTACGTGCTTCCAACTTGCACCGTTACAGTCCATAATGAATGCGGCGGCGAGGCTCATCTTCCTGTCCGCCCGCACCTCCTGTGCGTCACCCTTCTGTCAGTCCCTGCATTGGTAAGATATAGGGCTAAATTTTAAATTCTGGTTCTTGCTTTCAAATCTCTATATGATGCTGCTCTAACCTATATATCCTCCCTAATACACAAGTATGTCCTGTCTAGGCCCTTACGCTCTGCTGAAGACTTACGTCTGTGGCGAAACTGGCCTCGCCACGTGTCCTTGGAGGGGGCTTCTTGCCTGCCTCTTGCCTTTGGACTATGGACCAGACTTTATGTGAATGGGTTAACCCAGATAGCTATGCCATGGAGCCCATTCGTGTAGTTAAAGACTTCGGCTCCATGGCAATTGAACTGTGTGAATAGGATCTGAGCGCTATTCGGTAGTTTTGTGCGCTCAGATCCCAGCTATCTGGGGATATGTGACATGTCTGTGTTTTATGTATAAAATGTGACTTTGTGTATTTTATAATATTTTAATGCTTTGTGCTCACCATGTGCATAATGGAGTCTTGTGTCTGTCCTGGGAGATAATTGAATTACTTCTCAATTCAATCTCCAGGATAGAAGACTCTGAAACTGGTTTGGGCCGGAAAGCCATGCTTCATTTAGTCACAAAGGACTTTCCCTTAACTTTTGAACCCCTGGTCTGATTCGTGCCATTTTTTAAATGTTGTTCCCCTGAATGGATTGATTATGAAAATGTATGTTTTATGTTTGTGACATGTATAATTTAGAAGTTATAAATATTGTGTAAAAACTGTATTCCTCTGCCGGTGATAATGAGATTACCCATTGTGTTCAGTAATCATATCACAGGCAGAGGG